ATATGTTGAACCGTTGCAGAATGATCGAGTAAACATTAAAAAACTAAATTAATGAATCCCACAGGAACCGTAACTATTCCCGGGATAAAAACTAGCCTTTGTGTTCTTCCAGACTATGCTCTAAACTTGTGCCAAATTTCATGGATATCCGTTCAGCCGTTTAGGCTACAAACGCTAACAAACATCCATCCATCTAAACTTTCGCATTTACAATGTTAGTAAGTTTTTCTCACGTCGCTACTGGTTGCCAGTAACTTCAACAAGATGGTGCGGAAGTATACTTACGGAGCTGCTTCGTGCACGGAGCATTGCAGCACTGCCTCGACGTTCACAGCAGAGTTGATGATAGCTTTGGGCACGTGGACACGAGGTTTACCTGCAAATAACAGTTAATTATACATTTTTTATAGATTTAAAAACTGTGTATTACTGTTTATTATCACAATTAATACAATTTTAAAAGTACAATCGGGGAAATTGGCGGTGTTCCATTCTCAAAGTTACAATGTATTCTATATCTGTACTTATATAATAAAGCGTAAACACACACTTCTTTGTTGCCTAAGATGTCAGCAATTACAGCATATTTTTAAATAATTCTTTAATAAAAAGCCTTACGTCACGCTTTAGGCTATATCTTGTCACCCTATTAAACTTAGGGGGTAAATAAATTGGATAAAAACCCTAATGATAAAAACTCATAACCTACAAGCTGCCAACATCAAGGAAGTAAGATTGCCATAGTTTGTCATCTGGACATTTGCAATTGATAATTTGACAAATGTAAACAATAAAATAAAGTTTTCATAGATTCATGCGGATGAAGCTGTACGGGTACAGCTAGTCGTAATATTTTGAAACAAAGCGGAAAAAAAATCAATACAACGCAGCTAATAAATGTAAAGTTTGATAAAAGTTAGTTATACACGGTTAGTTTCTTTTTATTACTAACTCTACGTTTGCAGTCACTTCTGCCCAATTAGTTAGTTTTAGGAAACGGAGTTTTTATAGAAATAAACAATTTTTTCAGAAGTGCAACATCGCGGATTTTCGTGACTGTACTAAATTCTTTTAAGTAATACTTACTTTTAACAACAACGGTGAGTTCCGCCTGCTTGTTGCCGACTCCATTGAAAGCATAGCAGTAATATTTGCCCGCGTCGCTCGCCTTTACGTTTTTAATATACAAACTGTTGATTGAGAATTCGCCGTCCTTTTCTTGCAGGCGCTCGTTCTAATGAAAGAGGGAGATAGTATTAGTTTTATAAGTTTCAATCTATACTAATAGAAAAGAGGAGAGATTTGTATTTTTGTATATATTGAAATAACTCAAGAATTACTGGGCCGATTTTAAAAATTCTTTCACTGTTATAAAGATAATTTATCTGTGATTAACATAGGCTATGGTTTTTTTATAATTTTTATTATTTTACGCCGGCTAAGTCGCGATCAACAGCTAATAACTTATGTAAGTGGAACTACACATGATAGTAAAATGGCGTAGTAACAGGTATGCTAGCTACTGGAATGTGTGTTCCCGGTATATGAGTTTAAATCAATTATAGTGTACCAAGCTTTTCTGGCCCGGTAAAACCACTGCTATGCGGTTAGTTCTGGCATGCATGTCTGTCAGCCACTGGCTTGTTTTCCCGGTAAATGAATCTAATTATAGTGGGACAAGCTTATCTGGCCCGGTATAGTTGTTATGCGGTTAATTCTAACAGAAAATATAAAATCCACAAACATTATATTAAGACAGTACAAAGATCTCGTGTCACTTTAATACTGACAGGAGGGCGCTAGTGAGCAATAATAATTTACGATCGGGTCAGATAATGTTTCCGATCTATATATTACTAGCTTTCGCTCGCGACTCCATCCGTCCGAATTAATAAAAACAAAACCGAGTAGCCTATGTGTTCTTTCAAACTATCCTCTACATCTATGTTAAATTTCATCGAAATCCATTCAGCCGTTTAGGCTACAAACGCTAACAAACATCCATCCATCTAAACTTTCGCATTTATAATATTAGTAAGATGATAGTTCTATTATTGTAAAGACGTCATTCTCTAATCATGACGTCAGCAATCAAAATGTACACGTTTATCTAACTTGTATTGATAAATCCCACACACGAAGTAACACTTGTATATCTTATCACAAAGCAATAAGGTTTGTTTTAACTGTAGATTTAAACGTATTTGTTGGCCGTCTATTGATAACTTATGTTATGATTACAATTTTACTTTACAAAGCTGAATGAACTCCATTGACTTGTTATGAAAGCCAGATTTCTTTGCCTTTTTCTAAAAAAAAATGTTCTATTTTTATTTATGGTAGCTGTTGATCAAGATTTCGTCCGTGTATATATGACAAATTTCTTCGAGATAAATACAGTAGTTTTTTTATATTATTAGGTGGCAAAGCAAGCCGCTACCTAAATCCGCCAAAACGGCAAAGCGACCGCTGCCCATAGACATTTGCAAAAGCGGATGCTTTGTCTACTAATCGACGGAGGAAACGCACATAAACAAGATATTTCCCCTTCCTATGCGTCTCCAGCGTCAAGTCCACGTTCCCTTCCCATCCTTTACTTATAAGAAAGAGGATGGGAAGGAAAAGGGACTAAAGTTGGGCCTCCGGCACCACACTTATCAGACGAAATGGAATTGCTCCACTTCATGTCTGTTTTCTGTCCTTAGGGACAAGGGCAAGTTTATGGTAAGACACTCTAAAAATTAATATAAACATAGTATAAATAACTTACGCCATTGCCAGTGTCTCTGGACCAGATGATCTGTGGGGGCGGCGAGCCGCCGACGACGCAGGTCAGCATCAAGTTTGAACCCTCGACTACCTCTCCGTTGTTAGACGCAGAGAACTCTGTAATGTAAATAGGTGATCGATTACTCGACTTATCTTTTATCGAAAGATGTTCCAAAAGATACACTGGACTTGGTCTTCTTTGAGTGCTTCTGGAGGTTGGGATATTATTTACTCAATTTGTATTTTGCCTTTTATAACTTTCTAATGTCGATTTGTGTCTCTAAATTGCTAATTTTATGGTTACCATTCTGTTTAAAAGCATCACCAAGCTTTTTTTTTGTTGACGAAGGGGAATGTTGCGCATACTCCGTGCCCCGGGGCATACACGAGAGTTATGTGGGGCTCTCCCCCCATAGTGGGGGGCACAACTCAGTAAACCCCTCCGTTCCCTCCTGGCCATTGTGTGGGGCGCCACGGGATCGCTTTCGCTTGCCACCGCGACGCCCCACTGAGCATCACCAAGCTGGGCTAACTTTTCTTTTCATAAGCTCGCATCCTTGAGGGACTAAGTATACTCTAAGTGACTACGCCAATGCAGGCCTATTGAACGATGTCATACATATTTCTAAATTTCTACACAGATATAGGCAAAGATAAGTGACAACTGCAATATACATATGAATTTTGAAAAACATTTCGAAGCGGGATTCGAACCCAAGATCAGCAGATAAATTTTTAACCTCTTAGCTACTGGTCCTTATATGGATTATTCCCAACCGTCACCCCGCTCTGTCCCCACATGCGAAAAAACAGTTTCATCCGTCTCACCTTTTGCGACGAGGGGACAGTTGGAACTTATTTTATTTCATAACGGTTCCATCTCCTTATTGGTGATAGTGGGACTAAAATGTAGGACGGATGAAACTTGTTATTCTGACGTGGGGACAGAGCGAGTTGACAGTTGGGAATCCCCTTATATAAATATGCTTTTTTTATATTTTCAATTGTTAAAAAGTACTCACTGATTATTTTCGGCATTTCTTGGATGTTCAAAGTATGTTCCACCGCGACTCTGTTTGTTTGCAATACTTCACACTTGTACGAGTCGCTGTCAGCTATAGTAACATCTTTAATGAGCAGGTCGGTGGAGTTTGCTGGACTGGAATGGACAAAAAAACTTCGTTATTATATATGTGACAGAATTGTGGCTTTCTTGTTACAACTTTCAGAAAAATTGTTTTGTTTTTAGAAGAAGGAGGTACTCAATTCGTCTGTATATTTTTGTGTTACGGCATACCGCCGCTAATGGACAGATTTTGATAATTCTTTTTTTTTCCGAAAGGTAATGCTTGCAGGTGGGTCACATTTTTTTGTTTGATTTTTGGAGTCAAAGATTACGACGTAGTTAAATAGTTTATTACTAAATTGGTAGCGATTTGTGGCGAAAACGAAGGGCTAAAAAAAATTCCCCTTCCTGTGTCTCCTCTGGTAAAATACTTACATAGATATTCTCTGGTCCTGTGTGTATGAAGTCACATGCTGGTCTTGAGTCTTCAATGTACCAAAGAAGTACATAGTGCCGTTTTTAGTCCATTGAACGACTGTGCCATCTGGAAATATAAAATATTGATTAGTAGTAAATTATTCTGTACAAGTTAATATTTAAGTAATGAAATTTGATAATATTAAGTCAAATACAAAGGTATTTTTCACGCGTATGTAAGTTAGTTTTATGTAGATAAACTACAGACTAAACTAATGAATCGATTTTCAAAAATTAGCTCTCATTCGATTATTCTTCTTCCCCGGAGTGTCATTGGGCGTATATTACATTGGTACAATGCCTACGGTGGACGTGAGAATTGAAATTCTATTAAAAATAGTGACAAAACCGTGATCAAATCACTCATGATGACAAGTCATGAGTTTTTTTTTCATGTAAAATCTTCTTCGAAAATAAACTAGCTTCCGCTTGTGACTCCATCTGCGTGGAATTAAAAAAAAAAACAAAAGTGAGTAGCCTATGTGTTCTTCCAGACTATCCTCTACATCTATGCCAAATTTCATCTAAATCCGTTTAGCAGTTTGCGCTACAAACACTAACAAACATCCATCTAAACTTTCGCATTTATAATATTAGTAACATTAAAGTTAGGTTATTATGTTACCTGTGGTCATTGTATGAAAATAACTTTGTCATATTCCTTATAAATAATAAAATGTACATTCATTAAGTAACTCACTTAAATGCTTATTGACAAAGATAATAAAACTGCAAACAACAATTCCCGCGCATTACGTCCGCCATCTTGTATGTACTGTTAATCGGAAATGGCGTGCGTAATTTGGCGCTAACGGAAACAGTCGTTACGAAATACTTTTTATTGCGTAATGAATCACTTTTTATTTCAAGAACGTTTAAAGGAAGCCCATAATATTGTTAATATTTAAGTAGTCTGCGGAAACGATTCGTCTGAGATTTTGTACTATTTATTTAATTGAAATATTACGAGCTTTCGCCCGCGACTCACCGCGTGTTATTGAAAATAACAAAAGTGAAGCCAATGTGTTCTTCTAGACTATCCTCTATCTATGCCCAATTTCATCGAAATCCGTTCAGCAGTTTAGACTACAAACTCTAACATACATCCATCCATCTAAACTTTCACATTTATAATATTACTAGCTGTTCCCATGCGCCTTCATCCGCATGAAATTATAAAAAAAATATTTTGTTGTTCACATTTGTCAAATTATCAATAGCAAATGTCAAAATGACATGACATGATAAACTTTGGCAATCTTGCTTCCTTGATGTTGGCAACAACTTATGGTCTCTTTCCCACATTAGGGTTTTTATCCAAAATATTAACCTCTAAGTTTAATGGTGTGCAAAAAAATATAGCCTAAAGCGTGAAGTAAGTGTAGGGCTTTTTATTAAAAAAAGAATCATTCAAAAACATGCTGTAATTGCTGACATCTTAGGCAACAAAGTAGTGTGTGTTTACGTTTTATTATAATAGTATAGATATATACTAAGAAGTAAGATTAAAAAAGAAATTTTAACAGTTTTCAATTTGATAAATGAAAAGCATTTAAAAACAATTTAAAAAGGCCACTAAAGGCGTAACAAGAATTTTAAATTCTAGTTAAGTCTGTAAGTATGTAGAAAAAAAACATAATAGGCTATTTCTAATGCAACCGAACCTATAGAATAATAATTCCTTAACTCCATATAATAAAAACGCCCAAGTATTCAATATCAATGATTTATTGTCTCCAAAATATTTAAAAAACTAATCTCGTACTGAAGTGTGAATATTGTTTAGACATAACAGTCAAAGAAATTAATTCCCTACCCACCTAATGTTGATTATCGTATTGCAAACTATCATAAGAGTTAAAATTTAACAACTATGTGTTAGCTTTTTAACTATTTTGATGTATTCTGTATTCTTGAAGGTTATTTAGTCTGTGCTATAAATCAATACCATTTGTCATAATTTGAAATAACGATAAGCTTTGTAATTGTGATCCAAAACATTATTTAAATATGTCATGGTTTTAAAATGTAATTCTGCTTGTTATGTTAATAATCGGATAGTAGTCGGATGTCAAAAATAAGGGTGTTGCATAAGCTCGACGACGCGACGGCCATATTGGTAAGGTTATTCTGTGCAAATTGGAAGAAAACATAAGAGGTAATGAAGACTACTTTTTATTAAATTATAACATGGCTGTGACGCCCATGTATGTATGTTATTGTGATATCTTTTCGACCTAATTGTATTTGGAATGTCAAATGACATGTCGTGTAGATCAGAACTTTATCGCAAACAAAATTAAGCTTTATTCGATTGTGATAAGGTTTAATTTTACATTGTAACTTTTCTTATTAAGAGCAAGTTTTAAAGACGTAACTAAATTGATTATAAACCTTGTTTCACAAGATCATGTTTTTGTGAAAAATCTGCTTAAAAACTGCTCTACGTTCCGATTTAAGTGAACGAATTCGTGTGGGTAGGAAATTAACTTCCCCAACTATGTTCGCGGCTGTCCTAAACACATTTGTAATGCTAAATAGCTATGCGATTAGAATAAAATATAATATATGATGGTGTTACATCTGGCAGACAATACAATAGAAAAGTTATGAATTAACACATACTAGCTTTCGTAAGCGGCTCCGTACGCGTGGAATTAAAAAAAAACACATTAGACTATGTGTTCTTCCAAACAATACAAAACAGTAAACATCTGTACCAAATTTCATCGAAATCCGTTCAGAATTCAGGCTACAAACTCTAACAAACATCCATCCATCTAAGCATTCGCATAACGCTTTATAAACGCGCGAAAGCACCCGTATATTTAAACTATAGTTAGTAATTATCAAAGTCTAAGAGCACAATTGTTGTGCGACTGTCGATTGTTTCTGCAATTCAACTTTTTAGTTGCACTAAATGTGGGTGCCTTCAAGAGCAGGGCGAATCGGCATTTATTGAGCTAGGGAGCTCTATCCTTCGACCGCGTCCTCACTAAACTAAACTAAACTAAACTAAAAAAAAATCGAGTACCTCTATATAATCTCATAGGAATTAAAGCACGGAAGCACTTGTGCGATAGTTTAGTTAAAGTGCGCCTGTTAAGTGACGGGATAACTGACATTTCAACTTACCAGCGGGTGACACTTTGCATTCCAGTCTGACGCTATTCCCTAGTGTTATGTTGTAATGGGTCGGCTGCGTCAGAATCACCGCCGATACTTCCGGTTCTTCATCCGCGTCATTACCTGTGACATAATTGATTATAGTTATCACCTTTTTAAACTAACTTTCGCCCGCGAATTCGTCCCTGTGAAGTTAGAAATAATAAAAAAAACATAACCTATGTTACTGATAACGTAGCTTTTTAATATTGAAAGAGTTTTTGAAATCTGCCCAGTAGTTTTTGAGTTATTTCAATGCAAAAAAACACACCTTTCCTTAGTAATATTAGCATAGACTAACTTTCGCCTGCGACTTCATCCACGTGGAATTAAAAAGCAAAAGCAAATAGTCTATGTTTTTTCAAGACTATTCTCTACATCTATGCCAAATTTCATCAAGATCCGTTAAGCCGTTTAAGCTACATACTCTAACAAACATCCATCCAAGCTTTTACATTTATAATGTTAGTAAGATATAATAAGATTGACATTTGTGTCAAAAGCATTATTAAATAATCTGTTAAAATTAAAGAAAATACAATAAGGTAAATGGTTTATATTTTACCTCCATCCCCGTCATTCTGCGCCTCATCGTCAACTGCCGCGTCAGAAAGCACGTCATAGTCGTCAGTTTGTCGCCGGTGCATCGAGTGCCGCGCTTCTGTAATAACATAGTAACTTTAATAAAATGACATGAAATAAAACGAAGTGAAAAATACAGTTTGTTTATTAAAAAGTGACGAACACAGGATAAAAATATAAATCGAATTTTTCAAACATTTTATTCCAGTTTAAAACCCGCTACAGGTGTCAGTTCTAACTGAAGGTAGGTGAAGTCAATATAGACGCTACAGAGCCCTATATTCTTTTACATAATGAAGAAATTTGTTGGAGGGGTACATCGGTAGAGGTAGACCTAGAAAGAGATGGATGGATTGCGTGAAAGGTGACATGATCAAGAAGGGAGTGATGACTGAGATGACGGATGATAGAGTGCTTTGGAGGACGAAAACCCGGTGCGCCCTACGGGAGTAGGATAAGGCAGGGAAGATGATGATGCATAAAGAAATTTGTTGAATTGGTCAGGATTTTTAACAATATTGGAACAGAGAAGGAATATCTCACTTCATGTCTTTTTAGAGTAAGCGTTTTAAAGGTGAACGTACTATACTCAAAGATAGTTCCTTAAATCTAACTTCCCTCAGATAATTACTATGTATGAAATTTCTCCCATAAATGGTAACACCATTAACACGTTTACTTCACATAAAAGTTTAAAAAATCCATAATTCCCTGTAATACCCACGCATTTCAAACTATATTGACTATGGAGAAATGGACTAAGCCAAGAGTGAAGTAAACATGACAATACATGCATGTCTAGCTGTCACTTACGTACATAAAACTAGCTAGTAGTCCGGGCAGAATTAAAAAAAACAAATGCAAGTAGCCTATGTGTTCTTCCAGACTATCCTCTACATCTATGCCAAATTTCATCAAAATCCGTTGGGCCGTTTAGGCTACAATCTCTAACAAACATCCATCTATCCATCTAAACTTTCGCATTTATTATGATGACATACGTTTTGAATTAATTCTTGATAGAGGGGAATTCTTGCTCTTGTCAAGTCCTGTCTTTTAAAGGTCAAAGCTCAATGAAGTTATTTACATAAGCATGATTTTCCCATAAATGTAGCGATCGTTGTGCGGTATTTCCGAATTTGGTATGGTAGAGACGGCTAGTAGTTTTAACGTATGGTACAAATTATAGGAAATCGTTATGTATTTGATTTTTAGTTGTTACAAGAAAAATTATTATCTTTGTATTATATAGCTATATTTTTATAAATCGACAATTTTATAGAAAATTAACCAAGATCTTTAATACAAGTGTTTATATTGAACAGTAATTATTGTATGTGAAATATATTTAATATACATTTATTTTACAAACCAACTTTCGATCATACGTACAAAGACACGCTTTGAACTAAATCGCTCACGCTATCGCTACCGGCTATATCTTGTACTATACGTATTTCAACGCGTGCCCGTCTCTCTCCTGCCTCTATTACCAGGGTAATAACTCAAATTGTTCCTAGATCCTACTGATACAGCGTGTTTACTTTTTCCTTTTACGGTATCTACAGTAGACTTTAAACTGGAAACAAAATGATTTTTGTCCAATCTTGGATATGCTAAGTTTTTAAGTATATTTAACTAGCTTTCGCCCGCGACTCCGTCCGGTGACTCCGGACTCGTGGAATTAAAAAAAAACAAAAGTGAGTATGTGTTCTTCCAGACTATCCTCTACGTCTATGCCAAATTTCATCGAAATCCGTTCAGCCGTTTAGGCTACAAACTCTAACAAACATTCATCCATCCATCTAAACATTCGCATTTATAATATAAGTATGAAGTTCTTGTTTTAACGTAAAATTGTAAATTTGTGATTCAAAGAGGAGACATTAAAAAATACTAAAAAAAAACTCTAAACTACCAAAAGTATTGCATTAAGTGACTTAAAAAAGATATATAGTAAAATGGAATATTGTGAGACGCGTTTTTTTATATTCTTGGTTTTGCTTATTAATTACTAACAGTTGCTCGCGACTTCGTCCGCGCGTAATTAAAATAAAAGCCTATGTGTTCTGCCAGACTATCCTCTACATCTATGCTAAATTTCATCGAAATCCGTTCAGCCGTTTAGGCTACAAACTCTAACAAACATCCATCATAACTTTCGCATTTATAACATTAGTAAGAAGTATGATAAACTCTTTTATATTTAAATGTATCCGCAGTTAATAGAAGGAAATAAGTGCTACAAAAAATTGTACTCTTAGAGCGGGCGCACACGTTTGACTAAGCAATCGCATAACAGTTTTGCGATTGTCGATTGTTTCAGCTTTCAACTGTTTAGTTGCAGAACTAAATATCGAATATGCACCTCCATATAAGGTCATACTCATAAGAGACTTTTTTTTATATAATATAAGGTGGCATACTCGCAAGCGGCCACCTGAATCCACCGAAATGGAAAGCGACCGCTGCCCATAAACATCCACAATTGCAGCGTTGCCTACCCTTCATTGACGGAGGAGACGCACATAAAAAGAACATTTCTCTTCTTATGCTTCTCTACCGTCAAATCCACTTTTCCTTCCCATTCTTAACATCTTAAGAAAAGGGTGGAAAGGGAGAGGGACTATTAGGCCTAGACTAAACAGTTATGCGATAGTTTAGTTAAAGGTGTGTGGGCGCTCTTTTTTAATCTGCGATTTATGTTCGTGTTGCGTTACTGGTATAGACAGAGTGGAACCTTTCAGAATATTAATGATGCGGGGAAAGACTGCATGTCGGTTGTCAAATGCATTGCGAATATTGATTAGAGTTAAGTTTTTAATTAGTTTTTTTTATATTGATGTATCAGATTGTTATTTAAATAGCTGCAAGATGCGATTTTGTCGTAGATTTAAGAATATATTTGACTTTAACAAAAGAATGCGGTACTCAATTCGTCTGTGTGTTACGGCATAACTCCGCCGCTAGTGGACCGATTTTGATAATTTTTTTTTCATCCGAAAGGTAGTGCTTGCAGGTGGGTCCCTTGTTTGAATTTTGGAGTCAAAGATTACGACGTAGTTAAATATTTTTTGTAAAGTTTAAGTTTAGATTCTTTAAACTAAAGCATAAAATTACAGGAAAAAATGTTTTTTTCAAATTTCAAAGTTGAATACAGTAACCTATGTCTAGGTAAAGATGTGTCATCCAGCACCATCTGACCTAGTCATAAGTACAGTCGCACATAACTCGCTTGTTCGTTTAATTATCATTAATTGAAGTGCCCCGCTTCTGTGGCCTGCGAGCAATCATTCTGTCACGAGTCGACTTCCTATTCGAACAAAGAGTAAACATACAGAGAGGTCTGTTCATTAAAAAATAGGTACAAACTTAAATGTTCAAATAATTAAAATTAATAACTGAATCTTTGCAGTTAGTATGATAAATGAAACATTAGTAAAGCAGAATATAATTAGTAGGATTTTTTTAAAACGACAATTAAGGTAACGCAAATTTTAGTTCGATCTCTACTCTCGACAATTTTGTCAAATAAAGTCTACTATTAATAAAACAAGTATTACACGCAATATATAAATTGACCCTTCAATTGACAGAATAACGTATCTATTACTGTATGTCAATGTTACTCGAGCCTTGTAAGTAATAAAGAATGCAATGCCTCGTCTGTTCTATTTAATCTTTGTGATTAATTGAGTGGCGACATGAAAGCGCGATGCGTTTTCATTGCTGCACTCGGGTTACATTTCCTTGACACGTATCACACCGATGTTATTCATTTCACATAAAATAAATGTATAATAATACACAAAATGTCCAATGACGGGTGACACTTAGGGTTGAATTCTGAAGTCCACTTTCACCGTAAACGCCTTTAAATGTATCATTCTCTAAAACATGGAATTTGGAGATGACATATTTAAGATAGTTGCTCGCGACTTTGTCGACGTGAAATTTAAAAAGCCTATATTACTCTGTAATAACATAGTTTTAATGGTGAAAGATTTTTTGAAATCGGCCCAATAGTTTTTGAGTTATTTCAATACATACAAAAATACAAATCTTTCCTCTTTATAATATTAGTATAGATAGACCAATAATCATATGTCCCCACTAAGGGGCTCGGACCACCTAAATTAAGGGTGACCCCTAAATTAGGCCATACATGTATATCTACTGTCCTATCCTAATTCACACAATCCATACTTTATTCGACATGTGACGTCAGACAGATCATTACAAATTTCACCAGAGAGTCCTTCGATTTCATACCTTATTCCAAAGTAATAAAGATAACATTACCTTAATGCCTAATCGAATCTATTTCAGTTCCCAAGTCGCTAATGAAAATGGCAATAGTCAATTGAATCACCAATTAGACAGATTAGGTGCGGCTTTTACCGAATTGTCCCTGACCTGAATTAGTCCCTATTTATTGGCGAATTTCTACCAATAAATTATTGGTTAAGGTAAATGAGACAAGTCACGGTATATTGGAATTGGTGATTAATAAATTTAACAAGATAAAACGAAAGTTACATTTTTTTATGATAATAATTGTGTGGTTTGGATGTAACCTCTTTTAGTATAAATGACTGAACCGATTTTGACAAATAAGGTGTGATTTGATTCGTCTATTTCCTTTTAGTGTTTGGAGTACAGTCAAGCGTAAACACACTTCGTAGCGCAGGATGTCAGCAATCACAGAATATTTTTGAATAATTCTTTCATTAGTAAAAATTTATCAAGTAGTTTTTGAGTTTGACAGTAGTTAATGAGTTCAGTAGTTTGTAGTGATAGTTGTAGTTTTCAAACGGTATTTTTTGTTAAAGATTTACGATTATGATCAATAAATAAACAATAAAATATAAGGGTCTGCCTGACCCTGCGGGCGTGATGGAATGCAGAGCGGTGCGTTTAAAAGACGTCTGCATTGAATATCCATTTATAAGCCATCGACGTTTTAGGGTTAACTTGTTTGACGGAATCGATTCTGTTAACTATCGATTCATTCATATCGATATAAATTCCACGTATTAAAAATGATGTTGGCTATTCTAGGATAATAGGGACATAATG